CTTTTTAGCTGGTTTTCATTGAAAAGTTAAGGAAAATAGGAAAGACTTCACAAATTTGCATGCCATCTTTGTACAGAGGCTAGGCCAGTTTTTTTTCTGATCATTGAGAAGTTGTTTAGATATTTATTTCATATTTAATTGAAAGGCAGAATTATATAGAGAGAAAAGGAGAGCCAAAGAGAGAGAGTCCAGGGTTGGGGGGAGAGAGAATTATTCCATCGGCTGGTTCACTCCCCAAATGGCACAGTGGCCAGAGCTGAGCCTATCCAAAGCCAGGAGCTGGGAGCTTTTTCTAGATCTCCCACATGGGTGCTGGGGTGCAGGGTTTTGAATCTTTCTCTGTTCCTTCCGAGACCATTAGCAAGGAGCTGGACTGGAAGTGGAGCAGCCGGAATTCAAACCAGTGCCCATGTGGGATGCCATGCTGCAGGAAGAGGATTAGCATGCTATACCATGACACCAATTCTGACCTTTCAAATTTTGCTGCTGTTAAAGTGAATACTCTCATTTTTAGAAGTCTCACAGGGGAACCCATCACCAAGCAAAGTGTTAAGCTTATTTAAGAATAACTAGCCTTGATTTGGGGGCAAAAAAGAGAATGTGAAATTGAAACGTTCTGACTTAACTGAATTTGCTGGATGACCTTGGGCTAGTCATCAAATTAACACTAGCTTTGGTCTGATCGCTGAGACAGACAAATCCACCCTTCCCTCCTCTGATGTCATAAGGATGTGGCTGAAAGAGCACGCAGTGCCCAATTGAGGAGTATCGTTCCCTACACTGGCTCTTTGCAGGCATGATCTGAGTAGCCCCATAGATGATGATGGCTAATTAGACCCTTTATACCACATTGTTTATGCAGTGAGCTCTGTCCTAATGTGACACTCTTGTATTACAAATGATTTCCAACTTTGTACCGATTTATTATTAGGCATGCATTTTAAAGATTTATCTTTATTTGTGTTTATTAGAAAGTCAGATACACAGAGAGAAGAGATAGAGAGGAAGGTCTTCCGTCCGTTGATTTACTCCCCAAGCGGCTTCAGTGGCTGGAGTTATGCCAATCTGCAGCCAGGAGCCCAGAGCCTCTTCCGGGTCTCCCACGCAGGTGTAGGGTTCCAAGGCTTTGGGCCATTCTTGACTGCTTTCCCAGGCTACAAGCAGGAAGCTGGATGAGAAGCGGGACCACCGGGAGTAGAACCGGCGCCCATATGGGATCCTGACGCATGCAGAGGGAGGACTTTAGCTGTTAGGCCACTGTGCCGGGCCCTTAGGCATGGATTTAATGAATTTATCTAGAGAGTTAAGAGTTGGAAAATAGGGGTATCCTGTGTGTGACTGTACTCAAAGATGAATAAACATTTTTATTAATAGAAGTTGAAATAGTTTTTTAAAATGTGGTGATTTGGTGGAGAGTATAAAAGTTGAAGTATTTTTAACTTGATGATTTAGTGTGTCATTAACATTTTGAGAAGAGTGTTTCCTCTAAAAACGTAGAGTTGATGAGTCTGAAGATGTGGTATGTTTCCAGGTTTCAAACATGGGTCCCAGGCCAAGTTCAGGTGCCCAAGCTTCCATACAGCAGCTTGCCTAAAGCACAAAGGCCAAGCCTGGAGATGGTCTAGGGAATGGATGACTGTGGCTTTTAGAGATATGCACCTCTTGACTGAGACACTTTGTTTTTTTAATCCAAAAAATGGAAATAGTAATGTTATCACCTTCCATGGTCGTGTTGAATATTAGTTTTGGAGGTGGGATTGCCAAGAGTTCAGACCTGGCATTGTGGCACAGTGGATTAAGTGGCTCTCCCAAAAGAGTACTGGTTTGAGTCTCAGCTGCTCCCCTTCTGACCTAGCCCTCTGCTAACATGTCCAGATAAGCAGCAGAAAATGGCCCAAGTGCTTGTGCCCCTGCCCACTGTGGGCCAAAGGGATGAAATAGTAGATCTTTGAGCTTTGGACTGGCCCAACCCCAGGTTTGTGGCCAGTTGGGGAATGAAATGAAATAATGGGTAGAAGATCTCCTTCCCCCAAAGCTCCCTCTTTCACATTGTCTCTCAAATGAATCTGTAATTTTTCTCTTTTTTTCTGGTTTTTGTTGTTGTTGTTGTTGTTTTTTAGACGAGTTAAGTATACCATTGGGATAGCTTACCTTCCCATATATTCAGAAAGTTGAGAAGTGAATTTTAGCTCATCCTTGGTTTTCCTCTTTAGGGTTGAAGACAGAATGTTTTTTCTGTAAATGGAGCAGTAGTTTTAAAATTTATTTTTATTTGAAAAGCTAACTTTTATATACAGAAGGTGAGACAGAGAAAGAGAATCTTCTATCCACTGATTCACTCCCCAAATGGCCTCAAGAGCCAAAGCTGGGCCGGTCCAAAGCCAGAAGCTTCACTTGGAACTTGGGCCTTCTTCTGCTGCTTTCCCTGGCTATTATTAGGGAGCTGGATTAGAAGTGGAACAGTTGGGACTCAGACTGGTGCCCGTAAGCCAGCATTGCAGGTGGAGGTTTAGCATCCTGTGCCACAGTGCCAAGCCTTAGAGAAGTGTTTTTTTAAAATAACAATAATAGCTTTTAAAAGTTTATTTGAAACAGCAAGGAAGTAGAGACAAGGCAGATGGAGATAACCCTTCCACTGATTCACTCTGCGTGTGACTGTGACACAGTCAGCTGGGGCTGGACCACGCTGAAGCCAAGAGCCAGGAAATCCATCCAGCTCTCCCGTGTGAGTGAGAGGGAGCTAATGCTTTGGGCCATCATCGTGGCCTCTCAGGGCGTGCACTGCCAGGGAGCTGGATTGAGAGTGGAGCTGGGCCTTGAACCCAGGCATTTGGATATGGGTGTGAACGTCCCGAGCAGTGTCTGATTACTGAGCCAAGTGCCCCAGAGCCTTATTTGATCTTCTAACTTTCCCCTCCTTTATCTCTTTGCTTCCTTCTCTGTTGTCCACTTCTTGTTTTCTTTTTCAGAAGTTGGACCCTAACATTTTAAAGCTTCCTCTGCATTAGTTTACTTCATCTGGTCCCTTAAATGCTCTGTGCACATCCCAGTGGACAATTCAGGGCTGGCCCTCTAGGCTTTGTGTCGCATCCATGACTGATACAATTTAGACTTAAATCTGCAAACTCTGCTGAAAGCTCGCTGAACCACACAGGAAGCTTTTAAGTATAAATTCCAATTGTCACCATCCTACATATTGTAGAGAAAGGAGTGCTTTTCCTTGATCTTATGTACCTAGAACCTTTGAATTACAAATAACAAAAGACAAATTAACTGGAGAAAAGAACAGAACAATTTTACTGGCCTTAGGGGCCCAGCGGCGTGGCCTAGCAGCTCAAGTCGTCGCCCTGAACACACCTGGGATCCCATATGGGCGCCGGTTCTAATCCCGGCAGCTCCACTTTCCATCCAGCTTGTGGCCTGGGAAAGCAGATGAAGACGGCCCAAAGCTTGGGACCCTGCACCCGCGTGGGAGACCTGGAAAGAAGTTCCTAGCTCCTGGCTTCGATTGGCGCAGCACCGGCCATTGCAGTCATTTGGGGAGTGAATCATCAGATGGAAGATCTTCCTCTCTGTCTCTCCTCCTCTCTGTCTATCAGCCTTTCCAATAAAAATAAATAAATCTTTAAAAAAAATTATTGGCCTTAATCTGTATTTTACAGTACAGGAACTTGATAGAAAAGGAGTGACAATTGTGGTAACTGGACTCCAAGGGGCATTAAGTTGTGGGAAGATGAGCAGGAGGTGTGTGATGGGCAAGCTCTGTTCGGCAAGGTTGGCGTCAAACTGATGCTTGTGTTCTGCAGTGATTAGCAGAAAGAGGGCCATCTGTGCAAACGGAAGTTTCCTTTACCAAATGGATATTTATGCCCTACTTTTAAGTAGATAGAGGAGGACAGAGAGCTGCCCTTGTGTCTGCTGTGTCTTCTGTTCAAAGTAAGCTTTATGCCTAAGTGGCTTGATATAATCTGATGTCTTCAAGTATGACAAATGGAAAGACATTGAATTTAATAAGAATGTAAAAGGCAAACATGGGGCCCAGCACGGTGGCCTAGCAGCTAAAAGTACTTGCCTTGAACACACCAAGATCCCATATGGGTGCCAGTTCTAATCTCGGCTGCTTCACTTCTCATCCAGCTTCCTGTTGTAGCTTGGGAAAGCAGTCAAGGACGGCCTGAAGCCTTGGGGTCCTGCACCCGTGGGGGAGGCCTGGAGGAGGTTCCTGGCTCCTGGCTGCGGATTGGTGCAGCACCAACCGTTGTGGTCACTAGGGGAGTGAATCATCGGATGGAAGATCTTCCTCCCTGTCTCTCCTGCTTTATGTGTATCTGACTTGGCAATAAAATAAATAAATCTTAAAATAAAGGCCAACATGGAATAAAATGTAGTCATCACTGGAGGCATAAACATCTAAGTATTCCTTTGACCATCACTGTACTCCTCTGTATAAAACATATCCTCCAGCCTCCTCCTCCTCTTTCATCTACATCTTTCTATTTGAGAGGCAGAGAGACACACGGAGAGAGATCTGCCATTCACACGTTCAGTCTCCATACGCCCACAGCAGCTGGATCTGAGTCAGTCTAAAGTCAGGTGGTCAGCACTCAATCTGATCTCCCAAATGGGTAGCACGAGCCGGAGGACTTGAGCGACCACTTGCTGTACGTGAGCCGGAAGCTGTCACTGAAGCAGAGTAGGACTTGATCCAACACTTGGTTATGGGAAGTAGGTGTCCCAAGAGGTGACTTCGCTGTTGTGCCAAACACAAGTCTCCAGAACAGCCTCTTGTTTGTCTTATTTACATGCGGTTCATGTGCGTATTTTATTGCTTTGTCAAATGAGTGACAAGTAGTTCACTGTCTTCCTTGTACCACAGTGAGGATTGGCTGTGGTCACGTGGAATCCAGTGACATTGACAACAACAGCGCCTATATTGAAAGACCCAGTGATTTTCACTTACACATTATCATGTATTTCCTCCCCTCTTTTTTCTACCTGACAGCAGCAACGTGCAGGGTCAAGGACAGCCGGCCGCCCATGTCAGTGGTCTAGGATGGCCAGTGAAGGCACCAGCATCCCAAGCCCTGTCGTGCGCCAGATTGACAAGCAGTTTCTGATTTGTAGCATATGCCTGGAACGGTACAAGAATCCCAAGGTTCTCCCCTGCCTGCACACTTTCTGTGAAAGGTAAGCTTCCTTGCTGGAAGAGGGAAGAGGTGATATTCCGAGGAGGGGATTGCACGCAGTGACCTCTGACGGCTGATCCTTGGCTCTTGCCAACGGGGCACCGTGCGTTTGTTGTGCTTCTCGAAAGGACATCTAGAGGCAGGACCAAGTGCCAGTTGTTTCTATCAAACAGTTACAAGGGCAAGAAGGCAATGCGAGAGTTCCTGATTCATGGCTACCAGATTTTTCAAGCAGAATAATTTTGTTTTACATTTCCTTTTATTTCTTGGGAAACCATTTTTGCCAACAGCAGCTCCCTCACAGAGAGGGCCTTTGGTGGAGGCCAATGAAAAGCTGACCATTTTCTTCCATGTAACACGGCAGAGCAAGCGTCTACATAGTATATAAGCAGACAGCGCTTCCTCCCCAGACTCCTCAGATGTGTAGGAGTGGCACAAACGACCACCACCAGGATGTTTCAGATGAAGAAAAACACTATGTGTTTGTATAAGAAAACATATTTCTTTGTTTATCCTTGCTTTTAAAAAGAGCTATTTGAAAGGCAGAATTACAGCGAGACAGACAGACAGACACAGAGAGGTCTTCCATCCACTGTGTACTCCCAAATGGCCACAGTGGTCCTGGCTGGGCCAGGCAGAAGCAGACGCCTAGAACTCAGTCTTGCTTCCCAGGTGGCCTGGTACTCGCCCATCTGCTGCTGCTTCCCCAGGTGCATTAGCAGGGGACTGGATCAGAGCACCTGGGGACAACTAGTGGCTTCATCTCCCAAGCCACAGTGCCAGTGCCCATGTTTATCCTTCCTTAGAAGACTTTCTTTTCCAGAAAGGATGCTGATTAGTTATATGCAAAATATACTTGTATCCATTGTTTAACTTGTCATTTAAACAAGTAGGCTTAAAAATTGTATTAGTAATTAGTTTGACTTCATTGAAATATTGTTCTACTAAGGTTATATATCTTTCTTAAGAATAGATTTTATAGTTTTAAATATTTTTATATTTCATTCTGAAGATTTAATTAATTTTCAGCTTTTTTTTTGGTGTTTTTTGTTTGTTTGAAAGGCAGATGAGACAGGCATCAGATATCTCACATATACCAATTCCCTCTGCACGTGCAAACAGCCAAGTTGAAGTTAGGAGCCAGAAACCCATTCCGGGTCTCCCTATTGAGTGACAGGGACGCAAGTACTTGAGCCATTCTCCATTACTTCCCAAGGTCTGCATTCATGGGAAGGTGGGGTTAGAAGCAGAGACGGGGCTTGAATTCCCAACACTTCTCTCTGCAGAACGTCCTGAGCAACATCTGAATTGTTGTACTGAATGCCTGTGCCCTTTTCCATTGTTATTTAATGCACGTAATTAAAATGCTTTCCTTCCTAGTATAGAACTGGAGGCCAGTATTTCCAATGGTTTCACATCTATGCTGATTGTATTTGCCTTCTGATCAGCCGCATGTTGGTTTACATTGGAGGTCTCAAAGAATTAACTATATGTTCAGTGATAGTGATGAATGGAGGAAAAAGATTTGCTCCTGGCATTTGGGGTTTTGGGTTTGTTTTGAGTTGTGGGATTTTATGTGTGGGTAAATGTGTGTGGATATGGGATCTTTGTTATTGATGCAATATAGGGCACCAGTATTTTTTACTGTGTTCATTTTATGTTTTGGCTTAAATACTTTATGATTCACATTCAAAAATAATTAAAGACTGATCCCCCCCCCCCCCTTACATAATGGGTATAGCTAAGGCCTGAATGGCAGCTAATGGTGCATCTGTGTGTGGACACTCTTGGTAAGATTGCTGGATTTACAGCAGTAGGCACAGCATGGCATAGAGAGCTGTGCATTTTGAGCCCGGCAGAGCTGCTGCAGTCCTCACTATTGAGTGTCCAGTCTGTTGTTTGAGCTGTTTCCCCACAGTCTGGCAGATGATGAGCAGTACTTCGGAGCTGCCCTGGGTCTGGCCCACCTCTCCATGCAATAGCTAGCAGCACGTATTTGCAAGACCCTATTAAACCAATCATAGGGCTGAAGCTGTTTGAGCATCATGCACACTGGGATCATTTCCTTTTGAAGATGCTGGCAGCTCTCCTTAAAACGGGGAACGTTTGGCTCTGGAGAGGTAGCACCTCACGTATCGTCTCCCCGTCAGGAGACTGAGCCCTGCCAGACGTACACACTGATTCACTGGCAAACATCTGCTCGTTGTCACTCTCCAGACCGCTGTGTCTTCTACAACACCATCATCCAGGCTTGAAAGGAGAGCAACGGATGCTGAGTTTACTGCCTAGCTGGGGAGCCAGCCGCAAACCTCCCAATTACTCAGATCAATGTGGAATTAAACCAGGGACAAAGTGCTACTCTCCAATACATAGGAAACCTCATAGTAAGAGATTTTGTTCCCATCAAGGAAGGCCACCCTGTTGAAGTGGTGATTAAGGAACAATGAGTGAAAATTCAACAAAAGGCATGGGAGGTGAGCATTCCAGGCAGTGCTCAGGTGCTGCAGGGAGAAGGACCAAGAGAGCAGAAAGAACTAAATCCGCTTGTGGCTGGCATGAGCTAATGAGGGGAAAGAGAAAACATGCAGGTGCTTAATCATACCAATGTGTGCCCATGCTATTGTGGACATCTTCATGGAGGAGCACTGGAAGTCACCAACGGGTTTTCATCTCACATGCGAGCAGAGGCAGATGTGTTGCTTGGTTAGTATTTTAGAAAGGTCACTTTGGAACTTGGAGAAGGACTTGAGGGTACAGAATTGGAGGACAGTGTGACAGGTCCTTGGCTGTCGCAGATGTCTGAGAGAGGATGATGTGATGGGGAAGGGAGGCCTGGGAGATGAGAAGGATGTGACAGACTTTGGCAATGGGCTACAAGTGGGGAAGGAAGGACAGCGAGGGACTACTTTCCAAAGAATGCCTCTGGTTTCTGATGGGTGTAGATGCATGAGCAGAAGTGCCGGTCATCAGCTTGGGAGGACAGAGTCTAGGGGAGATCCTGGGCTTGGTTGTGTGCATGTTGAGTTTCAGGATACATGAGACATCCAAGCAGAGATGTCAAGATGGTATACAGTTCCAGCGCTCAGAGGACCCATCTGTGGAGACAGACGTCCGTGCGGAAGCATTATCGCTATAGCCCTGCATGAGAATGTTAGCCCAGGGAGACCTTCAGGAACTCAGAAAAGATAGGGCTTAGGACTAGGTGAGTGTGTTGTGTCATAGAGACAGGGAGGACAACAGTTAGCCTAGGAACTTGAGTGCTGCTTAAAATGCCTGTTTTCTGGGTCTGGCACAGTAGCCTAGAAGCTAACGGTCCTCACCATATGGGTGCCAGTTCTAATCCCTGCAGCCTGCTTCCCATCCAGCTCCCTGCTTGTGGCCTGGGACAGCAGTTGAGGACGTCCCTAAGCCTTGGGACCCTGCACCCACGTGGGAGACTCGGAAGAGGCTCCTGGCTTTGGATTGGCTTGGCTCCAGCCGTTGTGGTCACTTAGGGAGTGAATCATCAGACAGAATCTCTCCTCCTCTCTGCGTATCTGACTTATTAAATAAAAACAAATAAACAGAAAAGAGTCCCTAGATATTATGCACAGAGTAGCCTCGGCCATCTCTGAGAACACTGAGATACCCGGGGTCCCCCTCCAGTGCTGACTCTCCTGCTCTCTCCCTCTGCCGCAGGTGCCTGCAGAACTACATTCCCGCCCACAGTTTAACCCTCTCCTGCCCAGTGTGCCGCCAGACCTCCATCCTGCCCGAGAAAGGGGTGGCCGCGCTCCAGAACAACTTCTTCATCACGAACCTGATGGACGTGCTGCAGAGAACTCCAGGCAGCAATGTCGAGGAGTCGTCCATCTTGGAGACGGTTACCGCCGTGGCTGCAGGGAAGCCCCTCTCCTGCCCAAACCACGATGGCAACGTGAGTGAAACCACAGCAGGCGCTGCTTTGGCCTTGGTGGGAGTTAACGGGGCGGGGCACGTTGGAGATCAGACATTAAAACAGAACGCCGCTTGGAAAATGAGCCACTAAAAAGGAATTTTCGTTATCAATGTTCAGACCATTTTGCCTGCTCGCTTTTCTCTGACCAGGATAATTTCCATGACAAAAAAAACACAATCATCATAATAATTCCATCTCCCTTGCATCTGCTTAGGCCACGTGATTGGCAACCCCAGCAGGGTCAGCCAGTAGCTATTTGCAAGCTGAGCATCCTTTGTCCTAAATAAACATCTGTATACTAAATTGTGCATACAGATTCTGCAGTGGGTAAGTTCTGCAGGTGGAGAATGACTGTTCACATGTTGCAGTTGTTTCTTTTTCTCCTGCTCCCTTTGACCCCGTCCCTTAATAATAAGCAGAATGTGACGCTATGTGGATCCCTGAGAATAGATGATGGATGATGAACCACCAACACATTTCTGCCATGAGCAAGCACAGGCACTGTCATAAACACAGATGCTCCTGTGTACAGCATTAACTAACAGGCTCGGAGCAGGGACAGGTGTCCAGTCGCTGAGCCGCTCGCTGGTCAGGACACCTGCGTCCCAAGCGTGAGGATTTAGGCTCCAGTCCTGTCTCCAGCTTCCTGCTGAGTATACAGACCCTGGAAAGGCAGGGGAAATGGCTCCAGCTGCTGAGCTCCTGCCACCCTCCAGGGAGGCCTGGGGTGAGTTCCTAGCTTATGTTTCCACCTGCTGGTTGTAGTGAGAATTTATGGGGAAAGCCAGCAGAAAGGACATGTAGGTATGTGTGTATGCCAAGGAAGTGAAAACTTTAAAAAAAAAAATGTGTGTCAAGTAGGGAAGAATTTAATATATAACTTAAATATTAAATATAAATTAACTATAAATTATAACTAATTCACAATATATGTCAATAGCTTGATAATCTGCAGAAGCATTGTAGAGTGGCTAAGAAAACTAGTTTCAGAGGTAGACTGATTCAAAACCTCCTCTTAAACTTACTCTGTGTGTCAGCTCTGGCAAAACTTTATTAAGCTCCCTGAACTTCACTTTCTCATCTGTCCAAAGGAAGCAAAAACTAGTATTGACCTCAGAGAATCAAGGGAAGGAGTGAATGTTTAAATCATGTAAAGCATATCATAAGCTCTTGGTAAATGTTAGCTCTTAAGAGAGAGGCGAGACAGAACCTTCCATCTGCTGGTTCACTCCCCACATGGCCACAGTGGGTAAAGCTGAGCTGATCTGAAGCCAGGAGCCAGAAATTTCTTTCTGGGTCTCCCACATGAACAGAGTCACAAACACTGGGGCCATCCTCGGTTGCTTTCCCAGGCCGTAAGCGGAGGCTGGATCCCAAGGGAAGCAGCCAGGACTCGACCTGATGACCGTCTGGGATGCCACCACTGCAGACAGAGGCTGCATGTGCTTGGCATCAGCCCTTTAAAATTATTTGTAGGGGGTCAATCTTTTTTTTTTTTCCATTATAAAGCAGCCATTTCTAAAGCATTTGCAACCACTTATAAGAAAAAGTCAATATAGTGCAACCACTAGGCTGGCCAGAGGTTGCTGGTGCAGAATTTGTGGTCAGCCATGGTACTGCTTGTCTCATCTCACCCCTTTCTCTGCCTGCTGCCACCTTGCAGGCTCTTAGAACTAGCTGAGTGATTTCTCACCTTGGGGGCTGGCTGTTTGCTGCTTTCTTCTCCAAGTGGCCAGCTCATTCTCACCCTTGAAGTCTCAGCATGGGTTTCTTCTGCACTGGACAGGCTTCTCCCATCTGAGGACTGGTCAGACTCTGTCTTGCTTAGCCTCCAAGCTCACACTAAATCAGGTTTGTCCAGTTGCTACAACCCTCAGGTCAGAGCAGTCTTTGCTAACAGTGCTCCCCACCGACAGGCCACCTTGTCCACCTAAGTACCGTCCATCACATCACTTGGTTGATTTCCCCGTGACACTCGCCATGGTTTGTGTATGTGTCGGTCGCCTGGCTTTCCCTCTGTAATGGGAGCTTCAGGAAGACAGGTACTGTCTCCATTACACCTCTGGCATTCAGTGGAGTATCTTCTGCCTCAGAGCCAGTCAGCACGTACTTACTGAATAGATTTGCCAGGCACCACACAGCTCTGTGAATAGCACTCTGCAAAGGAGCTGTTAGTTCCCTACAAAGATGGAGACACTAAGGCTTGAATGGTCCAAGTTACAGAGCTGGTTGACAACATCATGAGAACTAGACCAGGAGTTCGGAGCTTTTTAGTGGCCAAAATGAAAGTGAGACACCATGGTTTGCATTATCTGTCATAATTTAATTGAAAACACCATAAGCTGTTACTAACCATGGTCTTTTCCACACATTGTATTCCAGGGGGAGAGTCCCATGTAATTTTCATGAATAAAAAAGGACTTAGGGACTTGTCTTTGGCACAGTGGTCAAGATACTGCTTGGCATACCCATATCTCCTATTGGTATGCCCGAGTTCAAGTTCAGGCTCTGCTCCCATTGCAACCTCCTACAAACACACACCTGGGGGGCAGCAGGTGAAGGCTCAGACCATTGGATTTGCCACCCATATGGGAGTCCTCACTCGAGTTCCCAGTTCTTTGCTTTCATCCCCACCTTGGAGCTGTTGCCAAGAGTGAGGCAGCAAACAGTTGAAAGCTCTCTGTCTCTCCTCCTCAAGTAAAGTTTAAAACAGAGAACCTGAATGCCTTCAGAAGCAGTATGAACATTGTTCTTGTGACCATTTCCTATGCCTGGGGTCTTGGTGAAGGCTCCATCTGGAACTCACATTCCAATTGCTGGCTTTGGGAAGGTCCTTTTGTCAGGGACAGGAATCCTCTAAAGCCACCCCCACAAGGGTCCTCTTCAGAGTCTCTTCACTGAGGTGCCCAAGGGCCCTGGCTGAAGCATTTGAGCACCTACTGTAGACTCTACTCTCCAGGTGGGATGTGACAGCTACAGAATAACTAACAGCTACGAGAGAGACTGGCATCCATAAGGAAAGTAAGAGTGTCAGGGGATTCAGAAAGAACTCATAGCTAGGGGCAGCTGGAGCAAAAACAGGACAGGTGAGGTCAGGAACACAGGTGAACAGGAGAGTAACATGCATGTGCCTGAGGAAGATGATGGAAGGAGACGGTGAGGAACCATGAAGATCATCAAGAAATGGTTCACCCTCCATTTCAGACACGGTGTGGAAAGATGAAGCCCTTTGAAACAGGAAATGAGTACCCCAGCTGCACAGTAATGCAAACCCTGGGAGGCACAGTGGGTGTTTTGCCACTCCCCTGGAAGACCTGAATTGCATTCCCAACTTGAAGTTTTAGCTTGTGACAGTCCCACCCGTTGTAGGTATTTGGGTGCTGAATCAGTAGATGGGCATGCACTCACTCTCATCTCTGACTCTCAAAAAAAAAAATCAGCTTATGATACTAGCTGTAAAATTCACAATTAAAATACTGTAGTATAATCTCCATTGAAATTAAGAAAAATATAAAATCAAGAAGATAATAAGCAAAAAACTGGAAAAATTCACAGGGAAGATACAAATAGCTAACTAATAATCATGTGAATAAAAATTGTTAAGCTTCATGAATACTCACTCCTCAAATGAATTAAAGTTTTGTAAAAAGTTAGCAACCAGGAATAATGAAAGTGTTTGTATTGAGACATTTTTATATGCTGTGGGTGGAAGGATAAATTACTTTTCAGTAAGTTTATGTCAATTTGGTAAGATATAATACGTGTTTTATGCAACCTATCATCTTTTAATCAAGTAATTTCACTAATAGACATATATTTCTTTTTTTTTTATTTCTATGGGAATTGTTGGATGTGAGAAAAAAGGTTTGACTTAAAAAGTTAGTGGTAATTTTTATAAAACTGGAAATAATCAAAATGGGCAATAGAACAGACATGATTCAATTATGTTAAGGCCATAAGTGACTGTTTAGTAACCGTTGAAACTGATATTTTAAAAGCAGATGACATACATGTGATTATTTTTGAGTATATATGAAGTTTAGTGTTTTTTTTTATTAGTAGAATCACAGTATATACAATATAGAAGGAAAAATGGTATTTTGTGTGGAAAAGACATTTTTGCAGGGAGAATGGAGAAATCAAAGAGGCCATTCTTCTCTGTTCTCTCTGGGTTCCTGGGAGCCAGGAATTGGTGAGAATGGGTTAGTGGGCTCTGAGTAAAAGGAATGGAGGGTCCTAGGGGTTGTTCCAAAGCCCTCAAGTCTACTCTGAGCCATGCATGGGAGTTGTTAAAGCATGTTAAGCTTTGGAATGTCCAGGCCAGGCATGCATGTAACTCTTTTCCAGGTAGCTGGAAATGTTGAGGGAGAGATGCATTCAAAGGAGATAAACAGGAGACAGCCCAAATGAGTACTGGCTTGAAGAATCCACAGTCCTGGGACAGCAGTAGTGAGACCACAGAGCTGGACTGAGAAAGAGGGGGATGGGCTCTTTAAAATTGCTATGACTTTTTATAAGATGGCACGATCCATCTTAGAGAAGCTTTGGGAAGAGAACTCTGTGGTCACAGACAGGGAAGAATGAGAGAAGAGTTGCTGATGATGCATTTCCTACACTTGATCTTAGCCAAAAGGCCGAGAAGCGATTGATGATGCATTTCCTACGATCTGAGACCCTTGGGTGCCACAGGCTGTTAGGCAGAAATATCTTAGAAATGAGTCTTTCACCAGAGAATCCTTTAGCTGCAAACGTTGCCCCTTCTTTCATCAAATCGCGTGGAAGATTTATCTGAAGACCTTGAACCTCCTCGAGGTGCATGAAGCTGTGTGAAGTGCATTGTGGGTACTTTCTGTACACTCAGGCATTGTGTTCTTTGGACTCATAGAATGTAAAAGTCAGCAAGAGGCCTTGGAAAATGAGTAGGCTGTGTGTTGAATCATTGTTGTTCCATCTTAGAATGCAGGAATTCAGTGCTGCTG